TTCTTCCGAATGCTTGATTCGGCCGGAGATTACCCAACATCTCCACCACATTTGTGACGGTCACGGGAAAAGTCCCTAGCGCACAAACTAATAAGGAAGTTCAGAGCGATGAATTTCAGGGCCGGATATTCTCGGCTTTACCAAGCGTAATGCATATTCGGATTCGCTTTACCAAGTTCCAGAGATGCCTCATCAATCAATCACTCAATTGCCAAATCAATCAATCAACTAACTGCAATATCCAACAGTCACTTAGAGTTAACAGTCTGCGAAGGCATCCGGGGGACCAAGGTTAGGGTTGTGTGAATATATTCCTTTTGACAGTAGTCCACTTGGTTCTCTGTTACACCACAATACACGAACATAATACCTTCCGATAATTAGTGTTATGCATTTATAGAGGGTATTATTTGTCGTTGTGGAAATCGCATTGACAGCAGTGACGGCGGTCGAGGCCATTGTCGAAGCGCCTCCTCTCGTACGCTTCTTGGACGTTTTATTTGCCATATCTACTGCACGAGCATGAATCGCATCTTGGGGCGTTTCCAGTCCCGACCCCGGCACCCCCACTGTAACAGTTCTACTGTACAGTTATCCGTACACATGTCAAAGATCTTCATTGATATTGAAGATGACCATCCAAAGGTTGCAGGCGACCTCACAAGTCGCCTGTGGTGCTAGCGACTCCTCCCATGAGTCGCCTTAACTTTCCATGTTCATGTAGCAGAGCTAGATAGCATAACCCTGCCAATTCATTCTTCATTTTACCTACTACTTCTATTGCGTGTGCCCTGCTAACCTGGTAGCAATACAAATTCGTCCAAGGACCATGACAGCTTCCCACCAAGCCGTATACGACCGCATGGTCGACATCCTCGGCGAAGGCGACACCCAGTCGATCTTGTCCCCCCTCTCCGTCGATGCCCGAGCGCGACTTCTTGAGGGCATCGGCATCACCTTCAACGCAACGACACAACCCCTCGAAGCTCGCATCAGCCAGCTGACCGAGGAAGGTCGAGCCCTCGAAGAATCGCTCCACCAGAGCGAGGGCCAAGCCGTAGCAATGCGCTAACATGGTGTCGCCGTGCAAGCCGAGGTCGCACAACTTCGCGACCGAAGTGCGACACTGGAATCCTCTGTGTCCCAGCTGCGCCAGTCTCTTCAAGACGCGCAGGCACAGACCCTCCGCGCGTACCAAGAGGCTGCGACTGCAAACAGCCAGCCCCAACAATCGTCTCCTCCGGGTGTCAAGCCAGTGAAGCTTGATGTCACCAAATTCGACTCCGACGCCGGCAAGCTCCTCCGGTGGATCTTGCAAGTCGAGACTGCGTCCAATGCGCTGTGCATCACCGGTGAGCTTACACGTGTGGCGTTTGCCCTTTCCCATCTCAAGGGTCAGGCGGAAGATTGGGCGTACTCCATCCGCCTGACTAACCCCACGTCATTCGCAACGTTTGACGAGCTCGTTGCGGCGATGAAGCTCCGCTTCCTTCCCCAACACAGCGATTTCCAGTATCGCTCGAAGTTCCTCGCATGCAAGCAAGGCAAACGTTCTTTGCAAGACTACATTCACGACCTTCGCTTTTTGGCTGCGAATGTCAACGACGACTCCACGCTACCCGAAGCGCTCCGGGTCAACGTCTTCATGGCTGGGCTCAACCACGGTCCAGCACGAACACAGCTCTTCCGTGTCTACCCAGCCTCGTTCGAAGAGGCTGTTCGTATCGCCCTTGCTGAGTCGTACGCCTCAGCCCTAGCGCATAATCGTGCCGATCCCTCGGATATGGATATCTCGGCATTATCCCATACCAACGACGGCAAGTGCAGCAACTGCGGCCGCAAGGGTCACTTTGTAAGTGCCGCGCACCTCGACGCACGCTCACTCCCTCTGCACAAGACGCGCGATCCGACCCGCTTGATCGTCGTCCGAGCAATTGAACACCCTCTTACGGTGGGCGTCCCCCAAGACGATCTACTGGGCCACCTGGTCGATCTGACCACCAGGCGGCGGGAAACGACAAGACCCAGTAGGCGCGAGGCGCCCTACTGGGGCACCAATATGTCATCCCAAGGTGTGTGGTGTAGTATCACACTCGAGTGACCTAGCCTCAAACACCGACTTCCATCTGTGCCGCGTCGGGCTACGCCCCAACAAAATGGTTACTTTGTCTCTTGCCGTGGCGGGTTTACCCACTCGACTCAATGTATTGATCGGTTGCGAAGCGTCAGCAAACTGCGCCAACCGCTCCACTCTTGCTTGTTTTGGTTCTCTCCCCGTGTCAGATTCCCCTGACTTGGTTCGCGTAAAGTAAGCCGATGGCCGCATCTCCGCCCAGCAGCGCCTAATGGTTACGCTGCCTGTTACCTTCGACGATTTCCACTCACTCGAAACGTTCATTATGATCGATTTGGATGAGCGGTGGGACCTCATCCTTGGAATGACTTGGCTCGAATCCAATCAACAGTGGATCGATTGGAAACTCAAAACCATCAACAAGGTCGTTTGGCTCAAAACTGATCAGCTGTGATCCGACGACGCGCCGCGGATAAGGCTTCACAGCCTTCGGCGTTATCCGTGACCCCTGCCCTCACGGCGATGAGTAATGAACTCGCCGCTGATGCCGCACCAGTGTGCTTGTTGCCCCCAGCACACCTGCCTTCGAAGTCCACGTCGGCAACCTCACTCCGGGAGGTTGCACCCTCGTCTGCTAGCTCTTCAGCAGACGCCGCCGTCGTATCTACAACTCCCATCGATCCTCCAAAGCCTCTCCAATCGCGTTGGGCTCAAATTCACCAAGCGCGTCGCCTTGTCACAGCGCCGCCTACCTCAACTCCGCAAGCCCTTACTGCGGATGCGTTCATCCAGCAAGTCTGCAACCTCGACGAGTTGCCCCAATCCTCGTCGGACATCCTGGCATTGCCAGAGATGAGCTATCGCTCTTT